TAGGCTTAACTTAATCTCAAATATATCCAACATATCCACCTGACTCTGCCTCCCAAGCACTGCACCCAGCAACAAATTTTTATTAAAATAAAAGGGGACTAATAGGCAGAGAGATGGCTCAGTGACTAAGAGCACTGGCTGCTCTTGCAGAAGACCTGGGTTCAGTTCCCAGCACCCACATAGCGGCTAGCAACTTTCCATAACTGTACCTTCAGGGACTCCAGTGCCCTCTTCTGACCTCTGTGGGCATTGCAGGATACAGGTGCACTTATATACAATCAGGCAAAGACTTAATCCACATAAAATAAAAATAATAAAAATTTAAAAAATATTTTATTATTTTTATTTAATGTGTATGCGTGTATTGCCTGCATGTAGATAAGGGCACCTGTGTCCTGCAGTGCCGGTGGAGGACAGAAGAGGCTGTCAGATTGCCTGGAACTGGAGTTAAGACAGTTGTTAGGTGCCATGTGGGTGCTGGGATTTGAACCCAGGTCTTCTGTAAGAAGAACCAGTGTTCTTAACTACTGAGCCATCTCTCCAGCCCCAAAATATTTTTTAAAAACAGAGGTAGGTGGATCTCTGTGAGTTCAAGGCCAGCCTGGTCTACATAGGGTTCCAGGCCAGCTGGGGCTACTGGGCCTGTCTCAAAAAGACTAAATAAATCAATGAAATAAAAGGGGACTGAAGAGATGGCTCAGCATTTAAGAGCACTTGCTGCTCTTTCAGAGAACCTGGGTTGAGTTTGGTTTCCAGCACCCACATGGCAGCTAACAACTATCTATATTTAATTCTAGCTCCAAGGGATCGAATACCTTCTTCTGGCCTACATGGGCACCAGGCAGACACATACATGTATGCAAAACACTCATACACATATAATAACTAAATTTTTTTTTTTTTGTCTTTTTTGAGACAGGGTCTTCTTGTAGCCCAAGCTGTCCTGGAACTCACTATGTAGATCAAGCAGGCTCGAACTCACAAAGATCTGCCTGCCTCTGCCTCCCAAGTGCTGGGATTAAAGGCATGCACCACCATGCCCGGCCATGACTAATTTTTTAAAAATAAAAGAAGTTCAAGTATTAGGATTGGGTACTTGCAAACCTCTAGTGGAATGAGGTCTGTGAGAGGACTAATACTTTGTATGTTCTTGTATACTTTAGACCCTAGAGAGGCTCAGTGTTTGTGGGAGGATACAACATTTCATATAAATGAAAGAACTGAAGACAGAGTATAACTTAGTGGTAGAGTGCTTGCCTATCATCCATGAGGCCCTAAGTTCAATTCCCAGTATCTCAAAAATAAGTAAATATGGCAGATGAATTTACTGACACTTTCCTCCAGTTCTGGAGATTGAACCTAGGGCCCTGTGCATGCCAGGCAAGTGCTCTGTCAACTGAGCTATAGCCCAGCCTTATGTTTTCTTTTGTGGTACTGGGGATTGAGTCCAGGCCTTTGCATATGCCAGGCAAGCACACTACCAACTGAGTTACTAAAACTATTTCAGACACCCCTTCCTGTAGCTGTGTCTGGACTTTGTATCACCTTGTCAACCAAACTCAACCCTGTGTCTCTACACATAGCCACCTGTCTTTCCAGCTTCCTTCATCTCATCTCTTCTTCTGTATCTTGCTTAGATAAGTATCTGTAATCTTCCTGCTCTTAAATCTATCGTGTCAAACATTCTTGCCCTCATTCTCAATTCCCTTGTGCCATTGTGGATAAGTGATTATTCCTGGCAAGGTTCAAATGTGGGAAAATCTACCTCTGTTCTGCAAAGAGGGGAGAATGAAGGCTGAGCACGCCCATGTTGGGAGGCTAGTCTGCTTCTCAGCACTGCTGGAGAAAGCGTGGCTGTTCAGTATGGTACCAGTAAAAGGCATTCATTTTTATTGTGTTTTCAGTGTTTCTCTTAGGCCTGCCTGTTTTACCACAACCTCTATTCCAGTCCTTTTTTTTTCCTTTTTCCCTAGCATGGCTTCACCATCAGCTTCCTTCTTGCAAGGAATAACTTCATGCTTCATATCTACGGATCCACTGCTATCTCAGACTCATAGTAGGAGAGATGCCCTTTCCCTAAGACTGAATCCCTTCCTAGGACTATAGGCCCTCCCTTCTCATAGCCTACACCCTTGCCTATCCTTGGAGTTGTCTATTTACCTTTCTTTTGCTCCATCCTATTGACATTTAAATGTACTTAGACTTTGGGCTGGAGAGATGGCTCAGTGGTTAAGAACACTGACTGTTCTTGCAGAAGACCTGGGTTCGAATTCCAGCACCCACATGGCAGCTAACAGCTGTCTGTAACTCCAGTTCCAGGAGATCTGACAGCCTCTTCTATCCTCCGCGGGCATTGCATGACACGGGTGCGCTTACCTACATGCAGGCAATACACACATACACATAAAATAAAAATAAATATTTAAATATACTTGGACTTTTTAATAGAAATGCTTTTTTCTTTTCTCCTTGTCCCTTTATATCCATTGTTATTTCTTCGTATATATGTCAATTTCTTGATCTCCCTTCAGACTAACTTCTGTCCCACCAAAGACCATGATCCCTTACCTCCTTTATTTGGAAAACTCACAAACTTTACCAGTGTATAATCCCATTCATTGTTCAGTTACACAAGTTGAAGCCTGAAGAGGGAGGATCAAGAGTTTAAGGCCAACCTGAGCAGCCCAGCAACATGCCATCTTGTGGGAGAGAGTGCTATTGACTACATTTTTCTTCTGGAAGTCTTAAAATTGTTTTTATTTTATGGGTATGAGTGTATTGCCTGCACGTACGTAAGCGCACTAATGTCATGCAGTGCCCACGGAGGTCAGAAGAGGGCTTCGGATCTCCTGGGGCTGGAGTTACACATGGTTGTTAGGTGCTGTGTGTGTGCTGGCATTTGAACCCAGGTCCTCTGCAAGAGCAATTGGTGCTCTTAACCACTGAGCCATCTCCCCAGTCCTGGAAGTGTGTTTCTTAACCACATTCTCCTGTTCTCCCTGCTTCTTTCTTGTCTGTAGGAATTGGGTATTAAAGAAAGTTGCTGTAGACAGATGAGAAATAGAAAGAGGGATGGAGACTGGGTCTGGGTAGGCATTCATTTCTTCTGAAAGATTCTGAAGGACTCGGGAGTTTACATTGTATAACATTAAGCAGCAGTTTCAGGGAAAATAGTTTTGTTCTATAAGGGTAAGGTTTGAATTTAGGATTGAAAGTGTGAGAATATCAGGCTATTTTACTTTTCAACTCTACCTTTGACATTTGGTCTTTAAAATGAGAATAACAGTGCAGCAATATGTTGGCCCGATGAGAGAAACCAAAACCAGATGCCACATCGAATGGTTTCATCCAGAGTACAGATCCCTAGCAGAGCAGTGGGTGTGGGGGAAGTGGGAAGTGACTGCCAATTTAGGGTGGAGGGTGCTCTGGGGACACTGGAAATTTCCCGGAAATAGACTAGTGATGGTTGGCATACCTTTATAGATATATGAAAACCCCACCATGTTAGAAGCTAGGCGTGCTGGCACACACCTTTAGTCCCAGCACTAGGGAGGCAGAGGCAGGTGAATCTTTGTGAGTTCAAGGCCAGCCTGGTCTACATAGTTCCAGGCCAGCTGGGGCTACAGCAGGGAGACCCTGTCTCAAAAAGACCAGAAAAAGAACCAAAAAAACAAAACCCAACAAGCCAGGTGTCATGGCTCACATCTGTAATCCCAGCAGTTAGGAGGCAGAGGTGGGTCACAATTTGAGGTCAGCGTGGGCTACAGAGTTGAGACCATCTTACAAAACCAAATTTAAAAAATCAAAGAACAAACAATACATTTAAAAGGGTGAGTGTTAATGTGTGAATTATAGGTTAAGAAATAATTTAATACCTGCTATGCTTTCTTCAGATTATTCATAATCTGTAATACCTTGTATATGTTAACATACTAAGTATTACATAACATAGACTAATGAGTGTTCATTATTTTAATGAAGAATAAAAGAAATTTATGATAAAGTATTTCCATTCATGCCATGTCAATTGCGTATTACACAATTCCCGGGGTGCCACTTGTACATATCATGAAAACGGCGGCTTCATGTATGTAAATACTTGGGCATTGCACTAGAAGAAACTGTTAGCTGAACCAGCATATAGAAAATCCAAGCCATGTTTGTTGTAATCCCAGCACTTGAGAGGTTGAGTTTAAAGGATTATGCAAGTCTGCCTGGCCTCCATGCCAAGTACCAGGTCAGCCTGGACTGTAGAACCTATTGAAGGAAACAGTCTGTTAGAATAATTACACTTCTGAAAAATTCATTGGACATTAAAACTGTAACTGAAGGCCAGGTTGTGACCCTATCTCAAAAAACTGAACTAAACAAACAAAATCCACAAACAAAACACACAAAAAACTATACCTAAGGTATTTTCTGTTAAGATGTAAAATGAAGTTGGGTTAAAATCTTGGGTATTAAGTTTTGCATCCCTATTAGTGTCCAGTGATACTTTTTTACAAGGTTTTTAACATCTTGGCTCATGCCTAGATGTCAGTAGTACGCCTCCTGCTCAGGCTCTTGTGACCATGGGAACCTCACTGTACTGTCTCCATTGAGAACCACTGCATTATGGAAACACAGTGTACACTGCTTTCCAGAAAGAGGCAGAACGTTATTTTGTTAGATTCTTCAGGTGTATTGGTCAAACACCATTTTCTTTTTCCACAAGATTTAAGGAAGACTGAATTATAAGGGTTTTTTGTTTGTTCGTTTTTAACTGAAGAGATTCTGCTCTGTTCAAAATGACCTAAGCTATTTCATGTGGGTATTTGTTTGAATTGTTTCTAGTACACAAGAGATGGATAGAAATAGTGTGCTTAAGATTCAGATAATATCTTGCCTCTCTTCTAGATGACCTGTAGTTCTAAAATTTTGCTTACAGCTTGTAGGTAGCTTATCTGAGAAGCTTGAAACGTCACTGCTGGGTACTGATAACTTTTTTCTTTTCCCTTAAGATGCTCTCCAAATCCTTGGTTATGGAGTATTTGGCTCATCCTGGTGCACTCAGCTTGGCTGCTGGAGTTGCTTGTGGCGTATGCTTGGGCTGGGGCCTCCGGGCACACTTTGGCATGCTACCCCAAAACTCAGCAAGACAGACAGACACAGACACGGGAACCGAAGCAAGCATCTTGGGAGAAAGTGGGGAGTACAAAATGATTCTTGTGGTCCGAAATGACTTAAAGATGGGAAAAGGAAAAGTCGCTGCCCAGTGTTCTCATGCTGCTGTTTCAGCCTACAAGCAAGTCCAAAGGAGAAACCCTCAAGTGCTCAAAGAATGGGAGTACTGTGGCCAGCCCAAGGTGGTTGTCAAAGCCCCTGATGAACAGACCCTTATTGCATTACTGACCCATGCCAAGATGTTGGGACTGACTGTCAGCTTAATCCAAGATGCTGGACGTACTCAGATTGAACCAGGCTCTCGAACTGTCCTAGGAATTGGTCCAGGACCAGTAGAACTAATTGATGAAGTTACTGGTCATCTAAAACTTTACTAGATGAGCTTCTGTGTGATGGTGATTCTAAGGCATTTGAAACCTATCAATAACAAAAAAAGCTCAATTTGTACCCTAAATAAAATCCATTCCCATCAAGTACTGTGCAGTTAGTGCACAGCATATATTTTGAGCTTTAAAAAACTTGAGGCCAGGCATGGTAGTATATGCCTTTAATCTTAGCACTTGGGAGGCAAAGGCAGGCCAATCTTTGAGAGTTCAAGAACAGCCTGATCTACATAGTTCCAAGGCATCCAGGACTATTACCCCCCGCCAAAAAAAAAAATACACAAAAATCCCACAAAAAAATACTGTTGGCTAAATGGTCTCAGTTGTTCAAATAATAGGTACTGACTGAACCAGATACTGAGGGTGAATTAGGTCGAACTGTTGGGTGAGAAGGAATCCCTGTATAACTCTCCCCCCTTTGGTGTGGTCAATTGCTCTTCTCCCTGAAACTTCTGCTGTCCCAGTCCCTCTTGGAGGGCCTGATTCAAGAAACCAAATTTCAGTTTTTCCCTGCTACTTTCAGAATGACTGACCATTTGTTATTAAGAGACCATTCATAATCACCCACAGTGGAATCTTGATTTAGACTCTAACCAACTGGATGTTTGAGTCTCACACTGTAGCTCGGGCTGGCCTCAACCTGTAGCAGTTCTCCTTCTGCCTCCAACATGCTGGAATTAGACAAGCATGAGCCGTCATCCCAGCTACTATCTGGACTAATTTTTACTTCTAGTTGAAATTTTGTAGTATTGATATAACCTGTGCAGTGTTTTAATGCTCATTTTTCCTAACCCATTTGGGCCAAAGGTGGCTCTAATTCACAGCTGTAAAGACTCCTTTACTTCTTCCCCTTCACCAGTGAAGTCACTAAGTTTGTGATGTGAACCTTAGACTTTCAAAGTGAAATGAGCCCACTTTATGTGAGGTTTTATGTATGGAATCTAAAGTGACTATGGCTGTGCAGTGTTTTTCTCTTTAAAAGTTTAGGAACTCCACAATTTGAGTACTTTTGTCCCTTTTGATGCTTATATACTGGTTAATTCTAGTAATTACTGTTGATTCCAGCTGCCCAGAATATGGTACAGAAGGTACCTGCTCCCAAAAAGCAACCACATGACTTCTTTTTCTTTTAAAAAAACAAAACAAAAACCAAGGTCTCGTTATGTTGCCCTGGTTTGGTGGCCTGGAACTCAGATCCTGAGTACCAGGATTAAAGGTATGCACCAACATGCCCTGTTACACAAAACTTGGCAGTATTAGAATTCTTTTTTTTTTTTTGGGAAAACCCAGAAGACTGGCAGTGATTCTAACTTCGTTATGTCCAGAGAACTATAATGATGCCAGTTATAATTTCAACTTCAACATGATAAAAGTCAAGGGTGTCTAAAGTCACTTGTGGAAACTGGACAGAACTCTTAAGACTTGCAGACAGTCTCAAAATTTGTAATACTTAGTACATTTTATGATACAGTAGCATAGGATGGTACAGGAGAAATCAACACTGAATGATGCCATATAGCAACTGTTTCTAAACAGAATGTTTATACAGGAGTCAAAAGTGATGCAACCACATGTAACTGAATTGAGCTCAATCTTAATACATGGTTATGATTGAGATAATTGATGAGGCTTGCTTGAGACTAGTAGTTCCACATTGCAAGACAACACTGCATTCCCAACAGGATGCTTTGGGTGGCTGATTCAAGTACCTGTAATAAGTCAGGGTCTATCTACCAGGACACAGTAGAAATTAATTCTGGCAATAAGTTATGCTATTTTTTCCTGGTTCACCTGTACCTGTATGCATCATCTCGTAGTTCTCAGTATACTCTGCAGACCCCAAGGGGCCTTATGGAACTATCTTCATTAATGCTTTTTGAAAGGCATTTCTTTCCTTAGCTTATTTACATTGATAATCTCCCTCCACAAGTAGTCATAATTATCTCTTTCCCTCCTCTGCATTCAGTCAAGTTTCATGACTTTAATTCCAGCACTTGAGAGGCAGAGGCAGGCAGATCACTGAGTTCAAGGCCAGCCAGGGCTAATTAGTGAGACTAGCGAAGCCCCAACCCTAGCTGAGGAGCTTTCGAAGCTGAAGGCTGCCGGGTAGGAAGAGTCAGTTTTCTTCAGGAAGTAGGTTGCTCATGCTCCAGTAGATGGCTTTGCATGCTCGTACATGACGGCACTGATTGAACTAGGCAGGTTATGAAAAGACGTGAAGTTGGGAGACATGGTGGAGGGAGTCTTCACCATGGGAGGACTTTGAGGGGGTTGGTATATGATTAAAATATATTGTATACATGTATAACATTCTCAATGAATACAAAATTTAAAAATATTTAAAAAATTATTTTATATGTACAAATGCTTTGCCTGCATGTATTTAAGTGCACCGTGTCCATGCAATGCCCACAGACGCCAGAAGTGTGTGTCAAATCCCCTGGAACTGGGGTCCTCTGGAAGAACAGCAAGTAGTTCTTAACTGATGAACCATCTCTCCAGACCAAATAAGGAATTTCTTGATTTCTTTCCCTTACTGGAGGTTTGATTTCAGGACTTTGTGTATGCTATACAAGTGCTCCATGACAGAACTATGGCCCCAGCATGTTTAAATAAATATTTTTTTTCCTTTTCTTTTTGAGACAGGGTCTCCCTGTAGCTCCAGCTGTCCTGGAACTCACTATGTAGACCAGGCTGGCCTCACAAAGATCCACCTGCCTCTGCCTCCCAAGTGCTGGGATTAAGGGCATACGCCACTAGCCCGGCCCTAAAAATATTTTTGACCCACGTTAATGTCCCATTTAAACACCTCAGCTGTATATTCAAGTATGGCTGTCTTAAAAGACTTGTATAGCTGACTTGTGAACTCAGTTGGTTTCATGGAACATGTTTTACTTAAATTTTTTTTTTCCTTTATTTTGTGTATGTATGCAAGTGTACCCATGTCATACAATGCCCGAGGAGGTGAGAAGAGGGTATCAGATCCCCCAGAACTTGAGTTATGAACAGGTGTTAGCAGTCATGTGGGTGCTGGGAATCAAACCCAGATCCTTAGCAAAAGCAGCCAGTGCTCTTAACTGCTAAGCCATTTGTCGGACTATATGTGAACCCTGAATTCAACACACACACACAAACCAAACCAAATAATCTACCTAATAATTCTGAAACATACCTAGTATTACTATACAGAGAGACCAATTCAGTAGCCCAGCTTATTGAGTCATAGACATCACATTGGTTTGTTTCTAGTATCACCAATATGGATAGTTTAAGTGGCAAGCACATTATTAAAACAGGGCTTAAAATTTCTTTAAGCTATAAAAAAGTATTTCAGGAGCTGGAGGGGTGGCTCACTGGTTAAGAACACTGGCTGCTCTTGCAGAGGACACAGGTTCCCAGCACCCACATGGCAGCTACCAACTGTCCATAACTCCAGTTCCAGGGGATTCGACGCCTTCTGACCTCCAAGGGCACTGCACAACACAGGTGCGCTTACACACATGCAGGCAATACAACAAGCATGCACATAAAGTGTTTCAAATTCTAGCAACAGTCCACAAGTATAGGAAAAGTCAAGAATAAACTGTCAGTGCTGTATCTCTTGATCCCTTATGGAAGAAGGATACAGAGATAAGGAACAAATCATCACTGGTATATTTCTTGATCCTTTAGGATGAAGGGTACAGAGATCTGGGAACACAGTCTAAGCTCGGGCAAAATGTTTTCACCATTACAAACCAAATGAAATTTTTATATAACTAATTTACCAGAGGAAGAAAACCTGGGATGGCAGTGCTAAAGGGAAGAATGTGTAAGGGCTTGAAATTCAAACAAAACACAACACAAAAACCCTTCTGTGAAGCCTATGGTAATTTGCCTTGGAGTTGTAGGGCAATGCAAGGCTAGGCAGTGGGCTACGTAGCCCTTTAGCTCGTGATGAGAAACACCATGCTAACTACTTTAAAAAATACACCTTTATTCCAAGTCAATATAACACCTATAATTTATTTAGTTACATGAGAATACTTAAAAAGCGCTGAAATGCCACTTGGTTCAAATGTTGGGGAAAGGAGAAGCAGCCCACTACTGTAGTGACTGACTCTTGCAAATGACAAAATTCATAATGCCTTCGCCTGTCCAATCCTCATTCCTCCTACACGTCCCTGTAATGCTCCAGTATCCAATAGGAAACTACAAAAACCACTGTTCTTTTGGTTTGAGAGGTATTTAATTAAAACTGCAATTCTACATGTTATTTCCACAGTCCAGTAATTTATTTTAAATTGGAGTAATTTCAAATTCCACAAACAAAACTGAAGAACAGCAATATTTTGTTTGAATTCTCTCTTCTGTACACTCAGTGATCTAAAACACCACAATATCCAACACACACAAACCTCAGGGAAGGGTTAGTAAATACACACGAGTGGAATCATGGTGCTTTTTGTTCCTGAATGGAATGGTCCCACAGAAAAAGCACAGGGTACAGCACAACATAAGGGTACCTGTTACATACAAAGTGAGCAAAACACACTAGCATTTCTATATGCGTAATGGGGAACCCTGCATAGGTTAAAGGGCCTTTGATGCTCATTTAAAAATCAGGCAAGTTGTCTGTATGCATTTTTCAAATAATTTGGAGAGCGCTGCTATCCAATGTAGGATATGCTGATTAGTGTTATCCTTGGCAGTCTTGCATGGTCATGTACCAGTTATTTTCACTTTAGCTTTTCTTTGAATAAAAGAGATTTAAATGCATTTAGACAATACATATTGTAAGCTGTTTACATACACTAAATTTAAGAGATTCAATATTAGAGTTTCTTTGTTTCTTTAAACACTACAGAGTGCAAATCAGGTTCTTCACAATAGATTGAATAGTAAGCAGTTCTTCAAAGAATGAGGGGGAAGAAAAATAAAGCCCACATGAATACTATTCCCCTTTGAAAATAAGTTCTAAAGTGATGCGGAATGTGAAAATAAGGTTTTAACATAGGTGATCCAAGTCTATAGTTAGAAAGAAATAGTCCTTCATGAAATAAAGGTTACAAGAACACGTTGCCTGTTTCCCCATTTATAAACTGAGAAGTGGGTAGACGATGTTTCAGTATGAAAAGAGCAGACTACAGAATCAGCTTCCATCTCACATGCTGTACCCAAAGCCAGGCTGCGGCTGCCCATAAGGTGGTGCAGTGTAGCCGTAACCAAAAGGTGCCTGGGGAGGGACTGCTACACTGGGTCCTGCTGTTAGCATCAGTTGGGGCTGACCTAAAGGGGATAAAGGAAGAGAAACTGTTAGTGTCAAAATTTAGTGCTCCCATCTATCTTGCCCATTCTAGCAATGCAATCACAACTCTGAATGACTGTCCCAGTATGGAATACAGTCTCACCCTAAGAAGGGTCCTACCTAAAAAGCCAACGGTGATAGGGCCACAACATCCTATCATTTGAAGCAATAACACATGCATATTTGACATTATCAGGCCAGACATCTGCCAAGAAGCCTATCACATAATACAAATTAGATTTAGTGACTAAAATTTTAGCAGAGAAAAACTTTAAGAGTTGTTAATTTAAATTTCTGATTCTAAAACATCTGAATGGTAATGAAACCTAACACAGTTCTAGCAAAGAATCCAGCGCTTTAGAGACAGCCATAAAGACACTCACATATGCATCAGCTATGCAATGCATTCGGTATGCGGAACATGAGAGCATATATACCTTCTATCAAATGTGTGCAGACGAAGCTGAGATAGTTGTTGACCACATAAAGAAAATGTGACATGTAAAGAACTTTTTAGAAAGAGAAAACAGAACACCTTCCTAGCCCTGCAAGTCATCTCCCGCTAGCTTGGAAACCTACTTTCCTCCCAATACAAGAGACTTCCCATGTCCCCCCGGGTACAACTAAAGTGTCTTGAGTAAGCAAATTCTTTTTGGAAACCAGTTTACAAAAAACAGGAAACAAACAAACCAAAAAAAAAAAAACAAAAAAAACCCAACCAAACAAAAACACCTAAAACACCATGAAGGTCAGCCAGTCTACAGATGTGGATGCCTACAAAATTATTACAGCCACCTTGCTATTGTTCTCCTGTTTTCTATTTCAAGAAAATGA